GAAGGGAAGAGGGGTTGAGGGGAGGGGAGGGGATTGGGGGAGAAAAGAATCAAGGTATGTCATGGACAGGCACAAATTCCCTATGAGGAATGTTATCCTGAATATCTAAAATGTACCAATAAAATTTTAAGAAATATATTTTCAAAAATTATATATATATTCAAAGAAACACTGCAAAAATGTAACTATAATATGATATCGTATGTTTTATAAACAATGTAAATACAAAAAGTGCACAAAGCGAACATAGGTGAAACTTTTCAAAAGGAGGAGAGGAGTACGGGGCAGTGAGTGATTGCCTTCTGCCTGCACTTAAGGCCCTTCAGCCCTCCCCTACTCTTCTGCTGAAGCCTGGCTTTCTAATGGCCCTTACACCTACCTCTTAAAGCTCTAGGTCTATATTTAAACAATTTTCCTGCTTATTCAGTCTTTCATTTTCCACTTTTATTCTTGATATCCAGTCGATTCTTAATTCTGGATTCTACCTTACTGTATTTTCTCTGCTTCTATGCTCAGCAATATGGTACAGACAGACCTCCAGTTCATTTTCTGTCTCTTTTTCCCTCTCACCTCTCCTCTCTCCCTTCTCTCTCCTCCCTCCCTATCTCTATTCCCTTGGAAAACAAATCTATATTTTCCTAACTACAACAACAACAAAAAAACTTTATTTCCTATTATAGACTCCATGAGGTAATTTTTTTTTTTTTGAGCCAGGGTCTTGCTATAAAGTTCAAGCTGGCCGTGGAATCACTATATAGCCTAGAGTGACCTCAAACTCACAGCCTCCTGCCTCAGCCTCCTGAGTGCCATGCCAGGCATCACAAGGCAACTGTACACCTTTTCTACACTACAGTTGTTTCTTCTCATCCAGAAACATGACTTTTCTTCTGTTTATTTAAGAATAATTCTCACATATGCTCCCTTTTCTGTATCTTAGAATCTTTACCTTTTGCTTCTGTCTCTGGGAAACAAATCTCTTCTTCCTGCCAAAACTAAGACACATTTTGATATCCTCTTACTTGCCTTTGCATGAGACACTGTTTCCCAGGCTCTCCTTCTATGACTTCATGTTAAGGTTTTCCCTCTACTGCCAACTTTTTCCTCTTGGTCTACAAAAATATTCAGATCATTCTTATCAAGAAAAAGACTGAGAAAGAGGAGAGGGGAGGAGAAAAAAAGGGGAAAGAAGGACAGGGTAGGGAGGAGGAGAAAAGAAAGGCAAGAAAGAGGAAGGGGAAGAAAGGAAGGGAAAACCAAATCCTTAAATATACCACCTCCCTTCTTTATTACCCTCCTGCACCATCAATCATCTCCTCTCCATTTCATTTGTCTCCAGATCTCCTATAAGTTTGTGCCTATCGCTGTACCTTCGATACTCCCGACCCATTCTTAATCACCACACTTCATGCATTTCAGTATCTAAAGAGGCCTAATCAACAAAGTCAAAGAGCACTTGGCATGATGACACACATCTGTAATCCCAGCACCAGGTAGGCCAAGGCAGGAGGGTTGTTGTGAGGTCGAGGCCAGCCTGAACAACATAGTGAGTCCCTGTCTCAAAAATCTGAGAGAAAGGGGGTGGGGAGGAAGGAAAAGGGAGGGAGGGAAAGGGAAGAAGGAAGGAAGGAAGGAAGGAAGGTAGAGGCCCTGCTCTGGCACACCATGGCCAGACCTGTCACCTGCTTCTCTCCTCATCAATGGATTTAATCCACTGATGAGTTTGTGATTGAACGGCTGTTATGTGGTGAGGCCCCATCAGAAGAGGCGGGTCACTGGGGTATGACCCAGAAGGATATATTCTTGTCCCCGGTGCCTCCTTCCTTTTTCTGCCTCCTGGCTGTCCCAGAATGAACATTTTTCCCCTGCCGTGCACTGCTGTCATACAATTTCTGCCCTGGAGCCAACCAACCAATCTAAATCCTTTGGAAACTGTGAGCCGAAATAAACCTTTCCTCTTTTAAATTATGAATATCAGGTACTTCGTGCCTGTGACAGAAAAGCTAATTAAAATACCCTATGGCAAATTAAAGGACAAGCCAGGCAAGGTGTCACACACCTGTAATCCCAGCACTCAGGAGGCAGAGGCAGGAGGATCACAATGAGTTTGAGGTCAGCCTAGACTACATGTGAGTTCGAGGCTGATCTGAACTACATAACAAGACCCTGTCTCAAAAAGCAAACGAAACAAATTAAACTGCTCTCTGTCACATACACTGTCCCCCCTGAATGTTCCTTGAGACTGGAGTGCTTTTAACAAGCAATATTTGCCTATTAAAAGTACCTATACCAAACAGCAGCTTTTCTGGCTTTAACCATTCTCAGAAAATATGACTACCTTAAATATTCATACCTTTATCATGTTCCCTGAGCTTTCTGAAAAGTACACATTCTCCATAATGTGATCTGCTGTATGCAAACAAACACTATCGAGTGCTGAGGTACCAACTCTATCAATCACCTCTGTAGTCTCCTGTAGTACCCGACATATTTGCCATACATAGAACAGGAGCATTTGCAGAACTGAAATAAAAAGAATGGCTATGTATTTTATTACAATAACATGAAAATAACTGGAAATATCAATAAACATATTTTTCTGAATCCTACTGGGGAAATTATTCTCTTTGATACAGAAATTGTCATCTACTAAATTTTATTTCTTAGGGAAGTGGTCCCAAACAAGACTTTCCATTATGCTGGGAATGGTTCCTCGCTCCACTCTCCTGCCAGATCCCCTGGGCTACAGAGTTGAGTTCAACTTGTGATACCTACAACTGCTCTCCCCATCTGCTTTTGCATGTCCAAATTACACTCTATGGTTGGAGAAAGCAAATTTGGGTCAACTAGATCCCAGTGCCTATACTTTGAACTTACCATTATCAAAGTAACAAAAAAGGACCCAGCAATGAGGTTCACATAGATCAAAACCTAAATGTGGGTGCTGTGAAATCATAATAATCTAGGCCATTTTTATTAGTGCTTAAATTTCATTAAACATTTTTTTTTTTTTTTTTTTTTGGTACCAGGGATTGAATTTGGGTCCTTGAGCTTGCAAGGCAGGCCACCAAACTGATGAGCTAAATCCCTGGCCCCCATACTTCATTTTTATGAGAGTAAGTTCTACCAGGTATGTAAGATAAATAAACCTCAGGTAGCATTGGTAGGAACTCCATTAGTGTGAGAAAAATTATTCCATAATAAACTATCACTGAGTATGAAGCTGTCATAAATATTGAACATTTTTTAAAAACAAATAATACAGAGGTAAAACTCCTTACAGCAGTGCTCAACCCAATCTAATACATTTTTAAGGATTTTTATTTTGTTTTGAGACAGGATCTCACTATATAGTCCAGGCTGGCTTTGAACCCATTATGTAGCCCATACTGGCTTGAATTTGGGGCAATTTTGCTGACTTAGCCTTCCTGTGTATCACCATGCCAGGCCCAATTTAATACACTGAAGATACTCTGTAGTATTATATCTTCAAAGCAACTCATTCCAAAAACCTTCTACCTTCATATTAATAAGAGTAGCTATAATTTTGTCTGGTTTCTTAAGCATCTACCTTGTTATGACAAAGCACTGTTCCAAGTCTCCTCCTGATTACACAATTCAAATAAGTTATTTTTTTAACCTATTTGAAACATGAACCTCAGAGAAATCAAGTAAAATATGCCCAAGTACACACACACACACACACACACACACACACACGCACACACACCTGGTAACAAAGCTGACTCAAAATATGTACCTATATTTCCTTGACTCCAAATTCTACAATAACTCACAGGCAAAGAAAAATATTATTTTATTAACTATAAATTATGGCTTGTGTTTAGATGCCCCACCCTCAAAGCCTCGTACTTTTTCAGAGGTAGGAGAATTTAGAGTGTGTGACTGATTCAATAGTGGGGCTAGGCCCGAGGGCACTAGGATTAAGGTGTGAGTGCCACCTGCCCTAAGTAGTCTGAATAAGATAAAAGGGGCAGAAAGATGCTGTTAAGGTCTCTTGTTGCTTTTGCTGTCTTCCTTCGCCATGAACCATTGCCCTTCTGCTATCCTGCCTTGGAGCCAGCCAATTATAGACTGAAGCCCCCATGAACTGTGAGCTAAATAAACCCTTTCCCCTTTAAATCTGAATGTTGGGTATTCTGTCTCAGCAACAACAGAGAAGTAACAAGTAACTAAGACACTATACCATATGTAAGAGCACTGTTCTTCAATACTGTATTTTCATTCTGTACATTTTCATTCTTTCCATTTTTAGAGAACTTTTCCCATGTCTTCCCTAATGCTTATCAACAGTAGACAGTGTGACCAGGACAAAACTATGTATTAATAAGTGTTCTCCATTACAATGATGCCTTGGTTCATGCACTCAGTTCCCTCCATGATTCTAGTCACAAACTGACCTGGACAAGAACCAACTCAGATTTCTCCATAATGGCTAACCCTAACCGCTGAATTTGATTTGGTTCTTGTCCAACACGGTTTGAGACCAGAATTGTGAAAAGAATCAAGTTTGTGAACTGAAGTACCACTGGACTTTCTGAACTGCAATTCATACTTCACCAGAAGAGATAGTTTTAACAGATGCATGAACCAAAAGAATTATTTTGCTAGACTATTTCATTTAATAAATCTTTTCTATCCCTAACTGACATAAATGTGATTTCAGGTGATATGTATTTCTATTTCATATACTGTAAGCATGTTCACTTTACTTTGTATTAGGAAAAATTAATATCAAATCAGTGAGTTTGCATAAATGTAAACTTTTCTTTTTAAACAAAGCCACCGTAGTGAAGGTAAATTATATTTAAATTTTAAATTGTCAAGTGTGATATTTTAAAAATTGTGAAGGTGCTTCACAAAGGAAGAAAAATTAGGGAATGCCAAAGCAATGAGACTTCACGAACACAGCACACACGCTTTTTGTGCCTGTATTAGGGGTGGAGCCTTTACCTGTGTCACATTCACACGTCAGGACTCACCTCTGGTGACAGCATCAAGTGCACAGCCACTTCCTGTTGCTCCTCCTCCAATCACAAGGATATCAAATTCTGAAGTGTTTCGCAAAGTCAGGAGCTGAGCTTCTCTGGAAGGAGGCTCCCTGTTCACAGGTTCAAAGCACTCTGCTGCTTCCACATAGGCCAGATTCACCTGATGAAAAAGCAGACCACTTTCAGGCGTTCATCTGTGAGGCCGATTTAATACATTTTATAGTACACCAAAAGAAGGAATTTGTAGTGGAGATAAAGAATGGCAGGGCTAAAGTACCCATGGACTGGGCATACAGGACCAGCATCGTGGGGGAAAGGAGTGCTGAGCGAAGTTTTTCACAGGAGTCAAAACTAGCCATAAAAGACAGTTCAAACTCAAAACCTCAACTGTTTGTTATGGCTTTATATACAGCCAAGTTCATTATTTTTACTCAAATACCTGAGACAATTTATAGGGCAAAAGAAGGAACTATTTTTCCCAATAGCAACAATTCATCCAGGTAATATTTAGAAGTATTGATGTCACACGAAAGGAAGAGAAAATATCACTTTGCATTTCTGCATTTCCTTAAAAATTTATATTCCTCATTCCTCTATTTCCTTGACAAATTATATTCTGAGTTTGGGTTCTTTAAGTTTAACTTAGTACAAATAAAATGAATCTGCTTAGCAGTTTAAGTAATCAGCTATGTTTAACTGGAATCTTATTTTTCAAATATTTTAGTCAGAGGCTTCCTCATTAAATATTCTAATATAGGGCTGGGGCCTTAGCTCAGTGGTGCCACTGCCTGCCTCACAAGCACAAGATCCCAAGTTTAATCCTGGTACCAAAAACAACAACAACAACATATATTTTCATATAAAATCAAGGATTTCATGTATTTATCATGTAGCATTTCCATTTTTGAAAACTTAATAATTAAATCTAGGTCTCATCCTCTTTTTTTCTTCATTTTTTGGTACTGGCGATTGAACTCGGGACATTCGCCTTGCGAGGCAGGTGGTGGTGAACTAAATCCCAGGCCCTAGGCCTCGTCTTCTTAAAAGGATAATGACTCTCTCTAGTCCTAATTCTTACATAATAATCTGACTTATCATCATCCCATATCTGGTATTTAAAAAAATACTGGTATTCAAAAATTGATATTGGTATTCAAAAAAATAAGTACCTGAAGTCAGAGTCAAAACCCAGAAAAATAGTTATCTGGTTTTTATTAAACCGTTAACACTAGGCTTATTCACTACACCGAAAAATGGTAACCAGTGCTGCTCTATTAGCAACCCATGGATGCATAACAACTATTTTCTTCTCTTTAAAGCATCAGCATAACCCATAATGATGATGTTTTTCCCATTTTGATTGCTGAAGAGGCCACATATGGATGTCCAGGCCAAAGTCTATTCAAAAAGACTTATGCTTGTACTTAAGAGATTATTCTGATCATTCAGGATAAGTAGATTTTTTAATCCAGTAAATAAACTAAATTACTCTTTATGACTAGATTTAATTATTATTAGGCTAACTGGATTTCTATGAAAATCAATCTATCAAGCACAGAGTGTCCTGAGAAAACCCTGGATTAGGGTCAACACATCCCAATTTGGACCTTTGCACTCCTGTTTATCAGCAATGTAACTTTTTTTTTTTTTCTTTTGGTACCGGGGAGCAAACTCATGTCCTTGTGCTTTCGAGTCAGGCAGTAGAACAAAGCAATATAACTCCTAACACAGTATCTCTGAACCTTAGTTTCTTCATTTCTAAAATGAAGATAAAGCCCCTGTGATTTCTCTGTCTCTCCATCTCTGGCTTATCTTCTGTCTGAATGCAATAATAACACCAGTCATTGATAAACTACATAGTACTGTCCTACACTAATTGTTACCATTATTATCAAATAATCTGATTCTTTAATAGCACATAAAAAGGAACTTTCAAAACATATCTTACTAAGTACCATAAAAACAAAGGTTATACTCAGGCGCCATGATTTTTCAGGCTATTTCCTCAGATGCCAAGCCACAACAATCCTATTCTGCAAAGTATAACTTTTCCTAATTATTTACTAATAATTACTTCTTCATGTTTACTTTATATGTATTTAAAGTAACTAAGTAAGTATGGCTGCCAGGTGTTTTAGAGGAAAGAATATCTCTTGGTTATGGTCTTTGCCTTCTGTCGTCTAGTGAAAGAAATGAACATATATTTACTGTTACACACACACACACACACACACACACACACACATACACTCATTGCATATATATATAACAAGCATGTAAAAAGAACAAACGTCAAAATAGAGGGAAAACCATACCAGGCTATGACCATTCAGATGAGAGAGGGAGGGAGAATCTTTCATCTGAGGGCTTCAGCTGCACCGTGACAGATGGGCAGGACTTGGACATGAGACTGACAAGTGACTAAAACACCAGAGCATTTTCACACATCAAAAGAATTGCTGACATTTTCTACTTGGTAGGTTTTCTAGAAATACTTGAGAAAAACATTTAAAGACCATATTATGATATAGTTCATTAGAACTTGGTAATACCAAAAGCTCCCATTCTACTCTACATATGAAGGTTAAATGCAACTTCTTGAGGCTCTCCTTCAGCAGGCAGACTTACCTGATCAGCATGCACTATGCCTATTGAGTGTACTGTTTCTCCTGTGTTCATGCCCTGCCTCACTCACCCTTCTCACCAGCATGCTCTCAGTCTCTTCTTAACAATTAAAACAAATACTTATCATAGGTTTCTAATTACCACCCTACAAATTCTCAAGCAATCTGTAAGCGCTTTCTCTATGGCCTTAGTCCTTACCCCTCCACTACCTCTAACCAGGCTTTTCACACACACACCACAGCCACTACCACCACCAGCACAAACTATTTGACGGCTTCCAGTAACACAGAACTGACGTGAACATCTTTGAGACAATTCTCTTATTGTCTTCAGTCTCTCCAAATCACTCTCAGCTTCCTCTGGATGTCACTCAACTGCCCAACAAAAATCACTGACCCTCCCCCTTCACGTGTCCTATTCCTTCCTCTATGAGCGTAAGAACTCTCTCCCTAGAGAACCTCCTCCACCTCACATCATCAAATATCCCTTCTACCACAGGGACTTTCAATTTTGTTCCCCTACTCTGAAACCCAGATACCAAACTGCCCAGGGACCTCTCTATTCTGGGCATCTTCTATGTATACCCCAGAAATCCTGGAGGCATCCTTGACAGCTTCCACTCTCTTCAGTGCTATAACTGATCAATTACTGAGCCCTATCAATTCCAGCTCCTGAAAAATTCTCACACCTGGTCATTTCATCTTCACTGCAACCTGTATGACATCCTCCCAAAGGTCTCCACATATTTACCCTTCCTCTTTCCAAATCATTTTCCTTGTTGCATCTGGAGTAATAATTTTAAACCCAAGTAATGTACCTGATATGTATAAAACCTCACAAGAGTTTCTGATATAATTTATATTAAAAGTACATATCTTTACTCTGGCATCTAAGACTCTTCATACTCTTTTACAATGAGTAAGATTAAAAAGAAAAAATAACACCAGGTGCTCATGAGGATAAAGCACAACTGGAGCTCTCTTACATTGCAGCTAGGAATGTGAAATGATCAGTCATTCTGGAAAATGGTTTGAAGATGTCTGAAGAAGTTTAGCACATACTTACCATTCAACATAGCAAATGCATTCCTAGGTAATTACCCAAAAGGAATGAAAATGTGTGTATGCATAAAAATATGTCAGCAAAAGTTTATAATGGCTTTATTTGCAATTGTTCAAAATTGGAAAAACCCAAACTCTTCACGAGGTGGAGGACAAAACTGCATATATTCTGTAACAGGATAATAATCAGCGATTTTTTCTTTTTTGGCTTTTTGAGACAGAGTCTTGCTATATGATTCAGGCTGGCCCTGAACTCAGTATGTAGCCCATGATGTCTCAGAACTCATGGCAATCCTCCTGCCTTACCCTCCCAAGTGCTGAGATTACAAGCATGCACTACTACCCCCAGCAATTCAGCAATCTTTAAGAAGACTAAACAAACTATGGATGCACATTACAACATGAATAAACCTCATCATGCTAAGCCAGGACTCAGAAAAGTATGATCATCCGCCCAAATACAGCTGCCATACATTTCTGTAAACAAAATTTTATTGGAAGATAGTCATGCTGAATCAATACACTTATGCACTGAATACTGCAACAGCAATGGTGAGAGTCACACACAGATCATACAGCCCTCGAGGCAAAACATTCACTATTTGGTCCTTTAAAGAAAAGGTTCCCAATCTCCAGGCTTAATGAATGAAGTCAGACTAAGAAATCTACTCCTAGTGTCAATTATACCATTAGGATCTTCTGCACCATTATAGCTTTTAATTGACAGTGTGAAACAGGAAGAAAGGGGCTAAAGGTGTAGGGGAAGTGGCAAGGGTAGGGGAAAGGCAATAAGGGAAAAGAAAAAAACATGAGAACATGAAAAAATGGAAATAAAGTATTTGTAAATGGGGAAGGGAGGAGGGGGAGAAGGAAGGGCAGGGGTAAGGGGAAAAAATGAAAACCAAGACCTGTCATGTAAAGGTACAAGATCTCAATGATGAATGTAACTGTACTGTATACCTAACATGTACCAATAAACTCAATGAGAAGAGGAAAAAAAAAAAAAAAAAGAAATCTACACCAAGGATGAATTCGATAATTCTGAATAAACATTGTTCTCTAAAAAGATAGCAGAAATGTTCTATGGATTGAATGTGGCACATATTTAAAAGGGTAAAATTCACTGCATTTTAAAATGTAACCCAAATTACATCTTTAAAAATTTGATTTAAGGCTGGGGATTTAGCTCAGTGGTTCAGCCACCTGCCTCACAAGCATAAGGGCTGGAGTTCAATTCCCAGTACCAAAAACAAATAAATAAATAAATAAATAAATAAATAAATAAATAAAATTTAAACAAATAAATAAATAAATAAATAAATAAATAAATAAATAAAATTTTGACTTAAAATTAAGGAAATATGCAGCCAAGGATTGAGCACCACGCCTACCACAAGCACAAGGTCCTGAGTTCAATCCCTGGAACAGGGGAGGAAAAAAAAAAGCAAATATGTACTTAGTACTAATGTGGCAG